CCAGGCCGCCCTTCTGCCGTTTCCGCCGCTTCTTGCGCTTCTGGTGCCGGCCGGGGCCCTGCGCGCCCGCCTCGCCCGCGCTGTCCGAGTCCTTGGCGCTGTCCGACGTCAGCGACTCGCAGCTCTGCAGCCGCGGGTCCGCCTCGCTCTCCACGTAGCGCTCCACCTTGATCTGCATGGGGCCCAGCGCCCCGAAGCCCTCCTCGCCCGCCTTGGGGTTCTCGAAGTCCGAGTGCTCGAAGCTGTCGTCGCTGTCGCGGCTGTCGGGGTTGCTGGAGCTGTGGCCCTGGTCGTTGCAGTTCATGTCCTGGTCGCAGGCGCTGCCCGACTTTTTCCGGTCGGGCTCCGGGTCCTCGCTGTTCTCAGACTGGTTCCCCTTCTCGTCGGACTTGGAGTTCTCGTTGTCCTCTGTGTGGGGCCGGCCGGGGCGGGGGTGGTGGGGACCCGGAGAGACAAAGGAGACAAACCACGTTAGAAGGGCAAACCCGCCCCTCGCCTGCGGGGGCTGTGGGGGAGATGTCTCGCCTGTCCTGAGCTTCTCCACCAGCTTGGTCACCGGGAGGCCTGACTTTCTCTTCTGAGGGCCTAGATTGGCTGATCTGGACTCAAAGTGGGGGCCAGGGACCAGCAGTCCTGGCCTGACTGGATGGTGGTTACAAATGCGGAATCCCAGGCCTCCCCCGGGGCCTACTGAACCAGATTTTGTATTTGAGTAAGATCCCCAGTGATTCATAGGCACATAAACCTTTGGGAGGGCCTGCAGAACTACCCCGGGAGTCAGAGCAATAGCCTGGAGCAAGGGGTGAGGGACACGGGGAAATGGTGGTGAGCCAGGCGATGTCCTAAAGAGGGCTTGCACCTTCCACCGGTGACATTTATTCATGGAAACCCACAGTGTTCCTAGTTATTTTTCTCTGTAGCACTCACCACCATCTGATTCACTATGTTTTATTTATTTTTATTAAATTCTATGTCTTCCAACTAGAATATAGACTCCATGGGGCAGGGAATTTTTGGTCCCCTGTGTAAATGAGGAGCAGAGGCTGTCTATTCTAGAACTTCCGCCCCAGTACAGAACTTTCAAATGAATGCAGTTTAGGAGATAGGAAAACAATCAGATCCTCTGCTGCCAGGAAGTGCTCCTCACCTCCCTCGCTTCCCTGAGGCTGTGCCTGGAGTGGAGGGATATGTGTTTACAAACCTGGAGAGCAAGTACCCTAAGGATGGGGAGTGGCCCTGGAACCCTAGCCGTCCAACACATCTTAGGGAGAGTGGATTTTCCCAGTAATACAACCTCGGAAGGTTTAGGGATGATGCTGGTTTTATGGCTCTGCTGTGGTGCTTCTGGATGGCAGCCTGGACTAGATCCTTGGACAAATCATGTACCTACTCTGGCCTTCCTTTCCGTGGTGGACGAGGTTGGGTTAGAAGAGGCTCAGGGTTTTTTGCAGCTTGGTGAGGATGCGACTATTTGGGGTGTGAAGTCTGAGTCTGCCTTAGAGCATCAGAGACAGCCCTGCTGTCTGCTTCTGGTAAAGAGGCCAGCGCTAGCTATGGGCTTAGGGCAGGGCCCCTTCTGTATGGTTAGTGGAGGGCTGACATGAAGTATATCTGTACATATATTTATACACTGCAACATACCTATGCCTATATGTATATAAATATATACCACAACATACATATATGTATATACTTATACACATAAGTGTATGTATATATTTATATACTACCACATATATAAGTATTATATGTGTGTGTGTATATATATATACACACACACACGTGTGTGTGTGTGTATATGTAGTGGTGGTATCAGTACAGTGCATGTATACATATGTGTGTAGAGAGAGAGATTTAGTAATAATCCATGTGACATAAGTCTCTATAGAAAATCTGACCAGTTGCTGTGCTTTGACGGTGGCCCTTTGGCCGTGGCCCAGCCCTCATGAGTGGAAAGGAAGGTCATAGCTGCAGAACATGGAGAAGTAGTAATACCTGTAATACCTGAGGTGTCTTTGGAGTCTGACTCAGAGTCAGATGTCTCCGAGGATTCCGAAGTTTTCTCCGGCAGATGGGGCAGCTGTGCGATGTCCATGGGAGTGTCCTTGTACTCAGGATTGCTGCGGGAAGGGAGGCATTCATCAGGAGGGCATGCCCGTTCTGTATGATTTGCTTTCGACCATCTTCTTCCCACTTCCTTGGCCCGAACTTTTGGAGTTTAGAGATTTTAAAAGACTAAACATGAAATCATTTCTCAGCTCATCACGGGACTTTACGGAAGCTTGGGCGCATGTGCTGGGGCACAGGTGCACCCTGCCACAATGATTGAATACCCAACTGCTGCATGAAAGCAACTAAAAAGCTTTTAAATAGTCAGATACCACTGGGGGCCAGGGAACTGTGCTGCTTGACATTCCTCCCAGTAGAACCCCTGGGGGGAAGGGAGGAGGAGAAGTACTCTTGACAGCTCACTCCCGTACCTCCTGATGTGCCCTGTCTTCTCTTGGCTCCTGATGAGTCCACTGCCTCAGGACCCTTGTCTCGGCTCCTTGATGGAGCTTCTCTGTCGTTCAGATGGCTCCAAAGCTGTGGGGGGGTTGGGGATGGAGCCCTCAGCGCCTAAGAGCTGACAGATGCACAGGTGCACCTTGGGATGCATGGATTATGGCTACTGAACTGTCAACACACCCATTACAATCACATTTTCATCTGCTCATGTGGTGCACACCTGTAGCTTGTTAGCTGGAAATCTGATTGCAGTGGGGAGACTCCCAGTGTGAAAGAGGCCCTAATGGAATGGATCTAACCCCACTTGCACAAATGCGTTTAATTTTTGTTCTATTTTTAATTCAGAAACAATCCTCTTCTGGAATAGAGAAGAGTATTCGGTCAGTTTGACTTAGCTGTCTTCTAGAAATGCCGCCCCAAGGCGGGCCTAACATATGAGCAGTACAGGCTACTATAATTTGAAGCCACAAGGAAAGTCTCTTGCCTCAAAATGGGAGATGCCTTTTCTATCTTTCCATAATGGTTAGCCAACCAGAGACTTACAATAGATGAATACTGAGTCATTTGCTAATTTATAGTGAAATTCCTATATTAAAGAATATAGGAACTGTTTCAGTAACTAAAACTGCACATGTCCCTGGGAGGGTTAATTCACTAAGATGGATTATCAGGCATTTACTCCTTAGTGTGAATTAGCTTCAGCAGCAGAGCTTTCTCTAGATAATCAGATGGAACTGATGGTGGGAAGGTAGCCTTAGCACCAATGCAGTCTGAATACTCTGAGTCTGTAATGCTACCAAGCATTGTGAAGGAGTGGGAGGAAGACTGGGGAGTCATAATTTCAGAACAGAGAAGGACAAGCCTGGATGGGGCCCAGAGGTGAGGGATTCTGAGCAGGAAGAGGGAGCATGATAATATTGCTCAGGGAAGAACAAAGGGCAAGGATGTGGGAAAGAAAAACAAACTGCAATAGTTGCTGTTTAACAAGGCCAGGTCCCTTTCTTACTCGGTCTCTAACCTATAGAAGTGATACCAATGAGTTACCACTTGGTGGAGTTTCTTCTGCTAAAGCCCATCTATACTACTCTCCTTTGGTCCAGACAGCATGGAGGTTCACAAGTCATTGTCATCCAACTTACCGTCTTTTATTAGGGAACTCAAAGTGAGTCTTTAGGTTAGCTGAAACAGGCCGAGCATGTCTGAGATTGAGGCTCTTGAGCCTGAGGAGTTGTCTTTGGTACCCAAACTGATTCCTTCCTCTCCATATATAATTAGATGGACTAGAATCACCAAACACTCATGAGCTTGTACCAGGTGGTCCTAGGCTACACCAACAGCGTTAATCCAAAGTTGCATGGGCTGACCTCTCCTTAACCCTTCCCTTGTCCTTCATTTGGAAGCAGAGTAGGAAGTCATGAGGCTGATGGTATAGTAACAAAGATCCAAATAGGAAGAAATCTCCCTGAATGGGAGTAACAACCATACAGTTTGTTTTAGTACATCAGCATGGGAGACAGACATCTGCTCATCTGTGGTGTCCCTGTTACCGATGTCTAATTCTTAATCATAATGGGTCTCCTTGGCCCAACCCCATTTTTGCCTAACAAAAGATTCCCAATGCCATAGTACCTTATTCTATTTCTTCTTTGGCATGTAAGTTTTTATAACCTTCTGTATGACATATTGCCACTGTTCCATAACCTCTATGTAAAGGGATTTCTTGATGTCACAAACCCATGATTGCATGGAAATCAGGCCTTGGAGAAATCCACGTTAAATACACATACCTTTCGAGAGAATTGGTGTAGAGTAGTCAAGAGGTCAAAAAAGGAAAAAGAAAGTAGATAAATGAAGACTCTTTTAAGTGGTGCACATTAAAGCCCTCACTAGAGCAATAATCATTAGCGTCTGATTGATATGCTATTGGTAGCAAGCACATTCATGCCTTCAGGTCATCACCAACGTGCATGAACACACTCTGAAGGGTCGGTGTGCTGATGAGCCATGGTTGTCAGCATCTCAGCTCCGTTCCGCTGTCTCAAAGAAAAATGGGATTCAACTACTCCCTGTCTAGATTATCAGCCAAAGGGCAACAACTTCCATTCATAAGACCTATTGGAAATTTTCCTACTCAGACCATGTGTGGGCCCTGCTTAGTGGCTGCAGGCCAAGAGAAGCCAGATAGTGGAATGACAGTGGTGGGAGGGAGCCAGCTGAACATTCCCATAGCTCCATGACAGGATTGGTGGAGAACCTCCCACAAAGCTTGTCCCCAAACACATACCACCCAGGCTTTGGTCTTGGTTAATTTTTTGCTAGTTTGAACCCAAAGGCAGAAAGGAGGAAGGAATGAAAAATGGCATTGCGTGTTAGAATTTAGGAAGCTGTTGAGCTTGGCCACATTCATGAATGTAAGTTTGAGGACACATTAAAACTTGCCCGAGATCACAGAACAGGCAAAAGAAGGTTGCCTTCATTTTTATACTGATATTATCTTGATTCTAGCAAAACAAGTCACTTTGCTTATCAAAACTTCAACCCCTAAGGATTCAAACCTTGTGTAATATGCCGAGGGCTTTGACGGGGTGGAATACAGGAGAACTATAATGTACCCTGCGACTCCTTTTTCATCCCCTTTGGCTCAATTTTCACAAGGACTGGAGTGTATGAATGGGTGTATGTGTGGTGGAGAGGAGGAGGTGCCTTTGAAGGAAGGCTTCAGCTGTAGGCAAAAGTCTGTATTCTTTTTATGGCCTGAGCATTTGTAGGGAAACCAAAGCAACTTCTGCAGAACTGCCCAAATGTTGACAGACCAAGAATTACTGAAAATGTTGTGAATCTGCCCTGGAAGATCCTTCCAGCATAGCTTTGCTCTTTTCCTATTCCTTTGAATCTTGTGGAAAGAAAAGCAGAATTTCCACATAATTCCACACCAGATACTGTCAAAAGATAATACAACATGTCAGTTACTAACGACTGGGCTGCCTATTTTATCACTAAAACAGAAGCAAAAACGAATTAGAAAATATACCTAAGAAGATAATTCACCCAGATGATGTTCTTCTCATTTGCATTCTTGGCATTAATAGCTATGGTGGCGCTAGACTGTATCCAGATATAGCCTCCATTCTTCTGCATCCAACGGTAGTACTTCGTCACACACTGGCCCTTGTTCAGCACTGGGGGAAACAAAACAGAAGGCCCTGAGTATTAAGACTGGGACCAGATGGTTGCCATGTCCGCAAAACCTCAAGCTTCAAAAGGGGAGGGCCGCATCAAGCCTGGGCGCCCCTGTATGCTTAACGCAGAATGCCATGAGCAGAACAAATAAAATCCCCAACTCAGTGGAGCAGCATCTCCCCAGTGAGGAGATACTAGCATTTGTAGCAAGACTCTGTTCCCTTCTGGACAGCCTTGGTGTGAAAGGAAGAATAAAAGGCCTACAAATCTTTGTGGCTCACAGAATACCTGATCCAGTGTGGATATTGCCAATGGGTTTGCCATCGGATGGCGACAGAGGCAAATGTGTACGGATTTATTCATAGCTTCGAGGCAGACCTCTCTCAGATTCTGGATATTCCAGTGGTTCCGAGGATGTTTCACCCCTCGGTCTCTGATCATTCACCTCAGCGCGAGCGAGCAATGTCAACCAGCGCCCTTATGCATCTGTTCCTTTTGATCTTGTGTAACAGAATTTATAGACCATGTATGAGCTAAATTTACGTTGGTCAGTCAGGGGAAATTCTGGTGAGACTTTACGGAATGTTGGAACAAAATAAATTTCCCAACCAAGTCGGAGAGAAACGCTGGCCTAAGGGAGGCACGGAATTGACTTGGCTGGAGCCAAAAAGAATGACAGCTCCACACAGACTCTGAAATATGGCCCAAAATGAAGGAACAAGTAAAAACAATCAGTAATGTGAAACGGTGCCATTAAATACCCACTGAAAGAGAGCTTTAAAATGCAGATGTTAAAAATGATACTTTAACCAAAATCTTGCCAAGTCGAAATTGATTTGACTTGTATCTGGGTACTCTGGAGCTAGTAAAAGGGGAAAGTGCAGTAAATCATCCCTGAAATAAAGTGCTATGGATGGGAATGGTTTAAAGAAATGCCGGAAACGTGCAAAGCCCTCTGCTATTGCTGGCTCCACATGGCAGCAACGCCACACCCCCCAGAAGCGTGCCAGCTGGCTGGCCACTAGAGGGCAGTGTGCCCTCGTCCACGTCGCCCGCTTTTGGCATGTCCTTGTCTCCGTCTGCTAAAATGAAAAAGCTCTAACTGCTGTAATAAATTTGGCTAAATTAGCTGCTAAATGGTTATCTCAAGTAATATGTATTTGCATTAATCATCTTGCTCTAAACCAGAACAAGCCAGAGTCCTAAAGACGTAGTAAATTCATATTGTCCATTTAATTACGGCTAATAAGTGCTTCATATACAATAGTTTCATGAAGTACATTTTGATTTTTTTGGGGGGGAGGAGGTGGATGAGTAAAGGGAAGTCACTTTGGAAAAGAGTTGTGTTTAAGGCTGTTGAAGCCCTTCCCTTCCTGTCTGAGCCGCTCTTCCTGGCTCGGAAAGTGATCAAAAATCAAACCTCCACCTATTATATCCATAAACATATAAACTTCAATGCCTTTCTCCCATTCCTCCCTTTTTTCTCACGATACACTAGATGGATGGTTGTAAAATTGAATAATTATATATCTTAACAGTTGCTTGAAAAAGCCTTGCTTTGATGAGTGCTTCAAGCAGTGGCAAGTCCTATTCCGTAACCATTCAACAGTTTCGGGGGTTTTCAAGGCCGGGAACCGTCATCTCCTGCTGGTGGCCAGGCTCCACAGGTAGCATTGTTCTCGCCTTTTGTGGGCGATTGTAAGTTCTGCCTTTCTGCATGCATGGCTTCCCAGGCTACAGGACCGCGTGCCGAAGCCAAGAGCAGTAAAATACTAACTCTGCCACACAGCTCTTCTGTCAAACCGTCGTTGCATGCAACAAGAGGTGCTTTATTCAAATCCTCTCAACCTGGTCAACTATTAATAGAGGAACAAGGGGTTATGAAATTCTGCTCACTATTTTCAGAGAAAACTGATAGCCCCCCCAATCAGGGATTGGTGTATAATTCTATCAGCCATGTATCTGGAACAAGGAATTATTTCCAATGGTTTTAGTTATTTGACAAAGGCAAAGAGGCTAAGAAGCCCCTTTTTTGAAGCACAAAGAGAAAACACTGATATGGTAGATCACTGAGATGGCTGGGGATTCTGGATTTTTGACCAAAAGAAGGCAAATTTAAAATACATATATATCCCCAGAATACACTGCATAGAAAGAGTCAAAGGGAGAAAGGAATTATAGTCAAATTAGAATGTGCAGAGTCAACATAAAGATCACCCCTCTTCCTAGTACTCTCTCTCTCTTAAAAAGTCAGAGAAACCAAATCTCAATTCTGAAATGCATAGCCAGCAAAACGTCTGCCTCCCTGGTGGTGTCATCTTTTTGAGTTAAGGCTGTGTGGCTCTTGGTCTGTTTAAGTGCATCTGTGTTTCCTGAGAAGATAAATACAGATTAATTAGGGCCTATAAATACATTAATGCAGCGTTCTCTATCACCCAGTCCAAGGGCCGTCTAGCAAAGGGAGGGGATCTAATGAAAGAGAGTCAGGCCAGGTGCATTTTGATGTGAGGAAGTGGCTATGAAAGGACTGACGAGGGGAGCGGTTCCTTGGGGAGTCAGGAGCTACTTGAGTGCCTTAACTTACCAGGGTCAACACCACAAAGCAGATCTGGGAGCCATGCTTGGATGGCTGAAGAAAAGTTTGACCTAATCCATTAATTTGCTCCAGGCCAGCTTGACAAACAGAATTCTTAAAAGGAAAACACTCTAGCATGGTCTTAGATCATGACTATTTCTTGAGGATTAGTGTTTTCTGAACAAGAACCCACGTGTTGGTGGGAATCTACATAACTAGAGATAAGGCAGTGAGTTAGCTCCCACTGTGGCATCACATGATGATCAGAGTATTGCCCAGTTGCTTTTGTTTTTCAGGAGGCCCCATAAAAGAGGTCATAATGGAATTTTGCTTCTTATAAAATGAACAAGGAAAAACTTTTTCTTGGGGCTCCAGAATATAAATCTATGACTTTGGGATGAAGCTTCTTTCTTCCTTTTTTTATAGTTTAAAAAAATCATACTGGCAAATCAGTTGGATCATTCCAGCTGTGCCAGAGGCAGGATCTGACAGCTTTTCCTGAGCTCATGTGGTCCTAATCAGCTCAAGAAGAAGAGCCACCTTGGTGCCAGTTTGAAAAAGATTTTTAGTTTGTAATAAATTAGACAACTTGAAAAACACAAAAACTTTCTCAATTCTTTTAATCCAGTGGCTATTGTTTTTATTTTTGAGTTTTAGCTTGAGATAGAAATGAGAAGACCTTTGTGTCTATTTCATAAAATCTTTTTGTGTGTATGGGGAGAAACAGAAATAAGCATGATGTAAGTCACTTGCTGTGAGAGTCCTTAAAATATGGTTAAATGTCCCCTGAAAAGATTCCAGGAGTAATTTAATAACAACATGCTCAAACTACAAAGAGAGGAACTAGAGAGAGGAGATGTATGTGTGGGTCCTGTTTTTAATCTTAAATCATGATGTGGTCAGACACCTGACCTAGCACCTTCTTTTTGATTTATGCCAAAATTTACTTTTTGCTTTCCAAGCTTTTTGGTAGTGCAGCCTGTGTGTCCCTCACTGAGTTCACTAATCATATCATAACATTTGTAAAATTATGTCTTTAAAGTTGTGCTATAGGCATTAGTTTTTATTAAAGGATCCCCAAACATTTAAGTGGTCTTTTCTTAGGTGTTATAGGGGAAACATGAACACATAGGGAGGACGAGCACCTTTTTCCCAGGGTCACTTCCAATCTCAGTGTCCAGGTGTAATTGTGAACACCTCTGCTACCATGCGACGACTTGTTCCTTTGTACTCTGCAGTCTAGTGACCACTGCTTTTGGCTGCTGCTGTTCTGAGGAAAACCATGAACCTGGCATCAGTACCACCCTACCTCCCAAGCTGACGATGCCTGAGTTGCAAATTGTGTTCTTCAGAGGCCAGAGGCAAGTCCACTGTGAGAAGAACACAATAGAGACAAAGAGCCTTAACTCCTCCTGGTTGAGCTGTTCCAGCCCTGCTCATTTGACACGTCTTGGCTGTTAGCATCAGAACACCGGCTACCCCTAACTGTGAAGGGTGTGGTGTATACGGTTCAATCTAAAGAAAATTGCAGCCCGGCTGGTGTGGCTCAGCAGCTGAGCATTGACCTAAGATCCAGGAGACAGAGGTTCGATTCCCAGTCAGGGCACATGCCCGGGTTGTGGGTTTGATCCCTGGCAGAGGGTGTGCAGGAGGCTCTCTCATCATTCATGTTTCTATCCCTCTCTCCTTCTCCCTTCCTCTCTCTGAAATCAATAAAGATATATTAAAAAAAAAAAAAAAAAGAGCCCGGCCCGGCATGGCTCAGTGGTTGAGCATCGACCTAGGATCCAGGCGATCAGGGTCCGATTCCCGGTCAGGGCATGTGCCTGGGTTGCGGGCTGGGCAGCCGATCAACGACTCTCTCATCATTGATGTTTCTATCTCTCTCTCTCCCCCTCCTTTCCTCTCTCTGAAATCAATAAAGATATATTAAAAAAAAAAATAAAAATTGCAGAGCCAACGTTATAGAACACATGACTGAACACGTGACCTTTTACGTCAAATACATACCCCCCTTTTCCCGGCCAAGGACTGGATGCTCAGTATTCCTGACTCTGTTTTTTAAATGTCACCGGGTCAGTGGGCTTGAGCTTACTGGTGGGGGGGCAGCGCACTGCCTGGAGAGAAACTCCCGTCCCTCCAGATCCGATGACCTCTGCACAGTTACCAACAGAGGCAGTTCAGTTTTCTTTGGGAAAACTTGGTCCACAGAGAGAGACTGGTGACTGAAAGGACATAAAGGCAGCCTGTGTCCGTGTCAGGAACATAATTCTGTTCGTAAATCAAAACAAATCGGTCCAAGTTTGCCTTCAGAAATATGGAGAATAAAGGAGAACACGGCCTCTTCCTGCTGGGCTGTCCTGCAAAGTCAAAGCCAGGGACGCTAAATAGTGAGTCACTTGTGTCCTAAAAAGAAGGAAGCAT